GAAAAACAATCTTTTCTTCACGGCTGTCTGAACAAAGGGCGAGCAGCGGGTAAACACCTCTAACCACCAGAGATGAAACAGAGCGGAGAGCGCATCATGTGCAGTTTTATTCGTGTCAGCTGAACTTTTGATCATTGACCAAGAAATGAGCCACTCAGTGGGTTCATTTTCTTTATCTTTGCACATTATGAGTGTAAAACAGCTTGTGCTATTGTGGGTAGGTGTCAGAGAGTAATGTAGAAACATATTTCTACATTACTACCACAGATTTTATTGTATTTCATTGAAATTTTATGAGTACACTTGGGGATCTTTACTGCAGATTTACTGGAGAACAAACGGCATCATGATGAAAAGGTTGAGCAGGGTTTAGTCATGAAACATCATCTCAGTCTCGCTTGGAGTTTTATTTCATTGATATTTTAGAAATGGAAAGCGTGTGGCACCGTTCACTTCACATGACGGACTGAGCAAGGAGAGCGTTAACCTGCGAAACAACCAGTAAAACCTGTGGCACCTCTGAAGATGCTGCAGAGCTCAGACAGTCTGCTGATAGTGAAATTATCAGTTTGTTCACTCTTCAATTTGAATCATAATAGAAAGAAAACCCTCAGATAACCACAATCCAAGCAAAAGAATGTGCTCAGATAAAAACCAAAATGAAACTTTTTAGCCTGTACAAAAAACAGCAAACTAAATGCATTTCACTTATTTTCATCTGGATGAAGCAAAAAACAAGGTAATCCTAAAATAAGTGCATCAGAGGCTTCAAAATGGGGAAAGATTGACTTTCTACAAGGACAAACTTAAACATTCAGGTTTAAGGTTGAACCTGAATGTTTAGATTCTACCTAAACATTCATTCAACTGGAGCTACAAAGCATGGCAACACTTTATTTGAAGGTGTGTGCATAAGACTAGCATGACCCTGGCATAAACATGACATAACATCTGTTATGAACATGAAGGAGTCTTTATGAATGTTTATGGCTGTTGTCATAAAGTGTAATTCAGTAAATAATGACACCTTTAGTGCAAAGTTGTACTAAACTTTTCATTAAAAGTGCCAACTTTTCACACCTCTTCAAATAAAAGAAGATGAGCAGGAATGGATTAAAGTCCAGGTTTAAATCAAACAGAGAATAGAAAACAGTTGACTATTCACAGAAACTCTCCATCCAGTCTGGCTGAACTTGAGCTTCTTTTTGGAAACAGAATGGGTAAAAACATATTAATATATAACATATCTCTGACATTCAAATCCTTAAAAAAAACCACTCAAACAAAGAAAACTGCAACAAAACAAAGAGTTTTTTGAAAACCTTTTATAGCTTCACTTCCACTTCTCAGTTACCACTCATATTAATGTATCACTTAAAACCCAAATGTGACAAATTGTGAAAAGTCCAAAGGATGTGAATACTTTTGCGAGGCACTGTATGTGTTCAAAATGCAATCCCGCTCTTCATTTCCTCAAAAAAACCAAATCGACGTGAAAGTAAATTCATCTTTTTGAGATCCTCTTCCAAACAGAAAGTGTCCATGGGAATCTTGGCACGTTGGGAAGGCATTTCTCCCTTCCTTCCCTCCTTCCCCCCTACTCCTCGCCACCTTCCCTTCTGCACCCGTGCACCAATGCAATTGTTTATTTTCTCCCATTGAGGCTGCTCCATTCACCGGCTCTCACATTTACTCTGCTCAACTGGAGTGAGACAGCACTTATTCGAGGAGAGGAATGCAGCGTTCCACTGACAGAGCAGCAAGAATGCCGCAGAAATAATGAAACCTTCTCGAGTAGAAAGTACAGCTGAGGGCAAACCTCGTCAAACCGAACAATGACGGAACTGGCAGGACTTTCTGCCGTGATGAGTATGTCCGCACATCACCTTGACACTTCAAAGCCGAGGAGTGTTTAAATAACGCTCAGTGAGGATCCCATCAGGGGGGAAGGTCATTCATTTTAAGTGCTTTCCTCCTCAGAACAATAAGCTGCTCTCTTGTAAGACGTGCTCTGTCCCCCGACCTCACTTTCCCCAACCACAATAAAGCAACAATAAGCAGCAGCACAAAGGTTATCTCTCTTGAGCTCGACCTCACTTTGGAGAGCTCACCTAGCTCCTTTGTTAGCGAGCCCAGGTGCTGCAGCTTCCTCTGCTCTGTCTCTGCCTAAAACCTTCAACCAAACACCGCCGAACGAGTTTAATGTGAGACAGGGAGTTACATCATTCTGGCCACATCACCACCAGTCTTGTCGGTTTTGATGGGCAATGCCAGGCGACTCATAAAGAAACTGCGCTCAAGTTTCTCTTCTTTTAATCACAAGCAGTGTTTTGTGACACATCTTTTTGCAATGACGCATGTTGCTTTGTCATAGAGTTAAATGTGTTCACAAGCTTGTGTGATATAATAAGACCAAAACTGCTGACTACGCGCCGCGCTGTGCCAAACAGTGACAGTGTGCGTATCCAGAACTGGCGAAAAACTCACAATAACTTTAGGTTTCGAACCTGGAGGGTTCAAATAAAATTTGTCAGGCATTCAGGTTTGAAAAGTTGTTTTGCGGATGATTTATCTGAGCTGCAAGATGGACAAGTTGAATGAATATATGAGGGTCACACCTGCACTGATGAGATTATTTAGAGTTACATATTCGAGCAAATGCAAAATTTAAACAGTGAAATTTTTTATATATCGCCGTTGAGATGGAGATAAGTCTTTGGCATCTAGAAAAAAATCACCCATACATCAATTACAAATTAAAGCACTGCCAGTAACTGCTACAAAAACAACAAAAACTTCATAAACCTGGAACTAATAGAAGCATTTTTTCATATTGACAATGGCACTCCTTAAGATAATGAGCTTAAATTAGACGTTTAGATGCTGCTTTTATTAAATCTTTGCTAAAGTAATGGTGAAATGAGATTAATGAACAATGTTCATCATTGTAAAGCGACTTGTTTTTGAACGGTTTACTTTTGCACATCTGAATCTGGTAACTTGCAAAACTGTTAATGCACCTCAGCTTTAACTTTTACACATGAGTTTATGCTGTAGCCACAGAATTAAACATCATTACCAACACCTCGGAGCTAAATATTTGTTCATCAATATTTTCTCAGAAAAACATTTGAATGTGTGGCATGCACCATGAGCCGAGTGCAGCCAGCTTTCACCACAGAGCTCCTGGTGTGTTTGTGCTTTCTACCAGCTTTGCACGTGAAGAAAACTGACATTTTTGCCCATTCTACTTTGCAAAACAGCTCGAAGTTGGTCAGAATGGTTTGATAGGATCCATGAAAAACATTTTTCAAGTCCTATAGCAAATTCTCAAATGGTTTTACACTCTTAACACACGACTTATGCATTGATCTAAAGCAAAGAGCCATTTTGTAGGTCTGCTAGTATGTTTATGGTTTTTGTCCTGCTGGAAAGCGAATCTTCTCCTCAGTTTCAAGTTTTTTGTGGCCTTCAGCAGGTTTTCAAACAGAACTATTGTGTGGTTTGCTTCATTCAGTTTTTTGTGGCTACTTAAAGAAAAGCAATCCCACAAAATGATCCTGCCATCGTCGTGTTTCACCATGGAGATTTGTGTTTCCACCATTCTCAGCATTTTGCTTGTAAACCAAAAGGTTTGGTCTACAAGCAAAACCCTAACCCCTAACCCTAACCCTAAAAACAAAAAAATAGTTTGTTTTTATTTTAATACAAAACATTTGTCACAGCTTCCTCATAATGTGTCAGTGATGCTTCTCAAGTTACTTGTAGACCAAAAGGTTTGGTCTACAAGTCTGTGCCTGTGTCAACTAAATAATTATTAATTAGGCGACTTCTGAAGGTAATTAGTTGCACTTGGGTTTATTTAGGGATGTCGGAATAAAAGGCACTGAAAATAAATTCAACATTTTTTGTGGGTTGCAGCTATAATGCGACAAACTGTGAAAAACTTTGAGGGATATAAATGTTTGCATAGAGCCAGTACAGCTGAGATTGATCTCTTATTAGTAATTATACAATTTTAAAATAAATAGGCTAATAATTCAAAATATGGATTCTGCCGCTTTAACAATATCTCACTCTTCTTTCTTTATATTTAAACAACACAATGAATTTTATGAATCCAACAACTCAAACTCGTCATGCTGCCACAAAGCTTTGTCATGAAACCAAACTCCCTGCAGCAGAAGCAGCTTATTTAAAAAACAAAAACAACGCAACAACATGTAGCACTGATGACATTTCATCCGCAGCCAGCCTGTCAGGTTTAATTAGGATGACTGTGGAAGTGCATTTTCACTTCACAGTTTTAGCGGATTACTGAACAGCATTTTCAGGTGATTTCAGAGATCATCTGACATGCAACTTGTTCCCCTGCAAAGTGTTGGCATGTTGTTTACAAATAACACAAACTTTTGTCTTCTAACTGGTTCAAAAACTGAATGTTAAGATTTTGCCACAGTAATTTTTAAAGGTTTGAATGCGTGAGAGTGACAAAGAGTTTAAAAGCAAACAGAGAAGTAAAGCTTACCTGCCCTCTACTGGTCAGATAAATGTAGGAGACATCAAACTAGAAACTTTCCTGGGCAGATATGAAGACTTTTTAAGTGAAATGATAGCAATTCACCTGATCACTGACTTGATGGCAGTCCACAGGCACATGGATGTCCGAGGAGAAGTGTTATGAGGACATTCCCAAAAATTTACATGACAAAAAAATAGTTTGTTTTTATTATAATACAAAACATTTGTCACAGCTTCCTCATAATGTGTCAGTGATGCTTCTCAAGTTACAAACTACATGTTTGGAGTTTCAATGCATTGTATTCTCAATTACATGAGAAAAAGCTGTAAGGGGAAGTCAAGTCAGACAGATAAAGGAAGACGGTTGTGGCACTAAGAGAGGAAGAGAACTGAAATAGGATCAAGTTTTTTTCTCTGTGGTTTGTACTCGTAATATTGAGTGGCAGAATGTTCAGAGGGTTAGATTAGTCACCCTCGGTGCAGAGCACAACCTCTCCATCACCTCTCAGCATGGGGGACGAAGATTACGATTCAGATTATTATTACTATGACAATGAGACTAACATTACTGAGAATAGCACCAATGAACATGATTGTGGCTTCTCAGTCCTGGCCGGCTCCCACATTTTCCTGCCCACCATGTATTACCTGATTTTCTTCACTGGATTCTGGGGAAACATCTTTGTGATCGCGGTGGTGGGAAGCAAAGGCAAAAGAGCGGGTCGCCTGGTGGACATCTTCGTCTTGAACCTGGCCGTGGCTGACCTGGTCTTCGTCCTCACGCTGCCTCTTTGGTCCATCTCTTCCAGCCAGAAGAACGGCTGGGACTTTGGGTTTGCCAGTGAGTTCCTGTGCAAGCTGAGCAGCTACATCATCTCTGTCAACCGCTTCTCCAACATCTTCTTTCTCACCTGCATGAGCATTGACCGCTACCTGGCAATAGTGAAGATGATGGATTCAAGGTACCTCAGGAGTAGTAAGTGCATTCGCATCACTTGCGCTGCCCTCTGGATCATCTCTGGCATCCTTGGCATTCCTTCTCTGATCTACCGAGAACTGGCGCCATCTGCAGACGGTCAGTCCTGCCTCGAAGATGATACTTTGGGGCTCCTGATTGGCATGAATCTGGGCATGGTGTTCCTCACGTTCATCTTCCCAGTGCTGATCATCATGGTCTGCTACGGAACCATCATCATGCACCTCAACAGGCACTGCGCCGCTGCTGGGAACGCCCGAGCTGAGGCTCGCCGCAGACACTCACTGAAGATGGTCCTCTGCATCATCGTGGCGTTCGTGGCATCCTGGCTGCCCTACAACACCTTCAAGTCCATCAAAATCATTTCCTATCTCTCAGAAGGCGATCTGAGATGTAAAGCATGGCTGCACAACGGGTTCCTCGTCTCCTGCTGCCTGGCTTTTCTCAACAGCTGCGTGAATCCGGCCATCTACTTCTTCTTGGACCACCACTTCAGGCGACGGGCGAAGTTCTTGTTCCAGAGCTGCATCGGGAAGACAAAGATGCTGCAGAGCTTCAACTCCTCTGCATCTATCACCAACCCCGGCACTTCTGAGAGCTATGCAACAAATGGTGGGCGAACGCAGATTCAGATGTCCCTGCAGGAGGAGAACAAGTCATTCATTACCTTCTAAAAGTCCAGAAGAGGTGACGTCATTGTTTTATATTTCAATTCAAATTTGACAATGATACACAATTTTATTCCTTTTTGTTTGTTAAATTTTAGCCTCTGTTAATTTCCTCCTATAGAGAGTTCGGTGTATTGCAGTAGAAAATTAAATAACTCATCTTTTTGTTTGTTTGTTTCTTTAATATTTATTTAATTCTTTTTTTTCTTTTCTTTTGACTTCCTCATCTAAGAAAATGCTGTTAATAATGCTTATGCTGGAGGACAGTGCATAACTTCCCTGTACATTTTTGCATGTCGCATTATTATTTTAGCATTAATCTAACAATAGTTTCTAATCATAACAGTAGCTTTGAATCATTACCATTTTTATGTTTTTGGTAAAACTTTCAAGGTTTGTATTTTTCTGCTTCATCTTTTGTTGTAAAACTGTGATAATTTTTCTAAAGCTTTTTATGATGGGGGAAATAAATGTGAAAGAAAAAAATATGTTTTTTTTCCAATTGTATAGCTGCAAGTTCACCCAAATAAACACTTTTTTATTAAATTACAGTGAAACTGACAAGCTCCAGTAATCCATAGTTTACATATGTTAGCCACTTTTGATGAATGGTTTGATTTGTATTATATACATGTATTTAAATAAAATCAAATGTTGTCGTGAATACATATTTTCTTGCTGCAATGGTCTTCCTCCACTTCTTAAGATAAAACAAATCTGTCAGCTGCTGTTTAAGCATGATTTGAAGATAATACAAATTGACACATTGTAAACATATATAATGAGCTTTGTAGTGACACTAAATCTCTTATCAACAAGTTTCAAATGTACAAGAAAGATTTTCACTCAACCTTGCGATTTATCGCGCTTTCAGACACTCAGCGGTCCTGACAGTCAGAGCACATGACACAAAAAAACTATCAAAGTGTAAACATCTGGTTTCATATCTCATGAAAGCTGCTAATCAGGTCATATTTCTTTGCTAGTTATTTAATCATCATAAACCAATAATCATATATATATATATATATTTATTATTATTTAATTCCCTTTTGCAGATTTGCATGCATGTAATTCAGATTAACATGAGATCCATTACAGAGAAATCTGATTGAGAAATAAACTCAGACATTTTCTCGCAGGCGTTTTTCTGATGTTTCTAGTGACAAATAGTCATTTTAAACAAATGCCAAGAGACCACAAAGTACTGTGGATACAAGCTCAATTTCAAAATGCGTGCTTCAAAAAGGAGGTGCCCTGTACATTTCTGAGCTTACTTCATTTTTCACACTTAAAAAACAAAAAAAAGAGAGAAAACCACAGGGTCTGAGAGCATTGACCGCTTTCTGGGTTTTTTTTTATTTTTTTTTTTTAGTTTTCACATGACAGGCTCACTATGTGAACTTTGTGCACAGTGCGACCCGTATTGTTTTCTGTCTTCTTCAAAACCCAGAGTGCATAGAAAGGACAGTGAAACACAGTGGGTTTTTTTTTTTTTGTTAAAAGTTTGTTCAAGATATTAAAAAAACTTTCTGCCGTCACATAGCAGAAAATGTGCCAACAACAAACAAAAATGAGCGATTAAATGTTTAAAAAAATAAAGAGAAAACACAAGAAAGAAAGGCACAAAGATGACAAGACGTGGGAAAACAATGCAGACGATCACAACAGGAAACAACACATCTCAGTTCTTTTTTTTTTGTGCATCTTGGTGTTGTTTTGAAACTAAGGGTAAAAGACTAAGAAGTCAAAACAGTAGACCACTAATTCACAAGAAAATATACATGTTTCTAAAAAATCTAATTCCATAAAAATGCTTACATGCTTAATATTTATTCTACACCTTTACATTTAATCGAGTGCTTCTCGCACTCCCACATGGTTACTTTTTATTCTTATGTAGAGTCAACTGAAATCATTTACCTCTTTAGTTTTCTCACATTTTGCACAGAGTCAAAAATAGATCTACACAAAGTTTCCCATTGGGGTAAAACACCTGTTTTACAAAGATATATTTTCTGAGGTGAATGCAGATGTATAAATATGGTTTAGTTATGGACTTAGAAAATACAAGTCTTCATGATTTAAATGGGGGGTGGGGCGGAAGTATGCCCAATTTGTTTTTGAAGGGGCGTGTATTCAGCTTTTATTTTGTCATCGTGCTTTATAAGGTTTCCATCGTAACAGTACAAGAGTTCCTTCACTAACGGTTAGCTTCAATGTAGGAAAAGGTTAACAGCAAAGCAGGAAAACGCATATAAAGCAACTTAGATTTAGCTTTTTAGCTTTAATCTTTAAGAGAACAAGGTAACGGCAATTGAAGTTTGAATATTTCAATTCTGTGATTGCTTAATTAATGATTAAGGAGATTAATTGTAGACCCAGTCCACCAATATACGTATCGGATACGTATCCGATTCAGATGTGACCTAACCGTCGCCGCCATCTTGTGTGTGGCAGCAGAGCGATCGGAGCTCCCCACGTCATTTTCCCTGTGGTCTTGTTTCAACCGTTTTACAATACAAACTAGATTCATTGGCATTACATTTCGCAGGTAAGATTGAAAAAATAAAATTACTTGACTTTACCGCCAGTACCTAGCTTCTAAATTGTTAGCGTAGCTCACGTTTTCATACTGTTTTCCAATGAGAAAGAGCTGATGAGAAACCGCTGTTAGAGGGGAAATGCATTGAAAACCAGGGGATAATGTGTAATGGTGAGTCACTGTCATAGCTGGAGCTGCTGTTCTTCAGTGTCTGTTTCACAGCCTAGCTTCACAATGAGGTATTTAGCTATGCTATAAAGAGGTCGTTTGCATTTCACACTGGAGAACACATACAGGTTGTCTATATTTGGAAGTGTAAACGACCACGCCAAAAAAAAAAAAAAATATGATCTGACAAAAAAAATCTGAATTAGGTCACTTCAAGCTGCAGTGTGAACGAAGCCTAAGTAGATTGAATTCTATCTTCATTCAGTTGGCCTTTACACATATAATTCAAAAATTGCAGAAACAGTTGTTAAATACAGAGAATGATAACTCAAAATTGTTTTTCCACCAATGTTTTGGAGTCCCCTTTGGTGCAGCATATCCACTATTTTTGCACCATTGTTTTGGTGGAAAATGAATTATTGCCTAAGCTATCTCTATATATAGCTGCTGTCATTTCACCCTCTATTCAGACTGGTCGTCCACATCCTGCCACAGATAAACGTTTGATTCATAGTAGAGTCAGAGTTGGCCAGGTCATGACCAAAGTGTTTTTTTGTTGTTTTTTTTTTCCTCTCTAGGCATGATTCAATAAGTTCAGGCCAAGAATTACTAGTTTGGTTTCTACACACTGTAATGTTGTTGCTCATTCTAATTAGGCTCTTTTTGCAACAATCAACTTGAATGTTTAGCTTTTCCTGACTACTGTTCCATGAGCATCTGATTAGTGAACTGTAGTAGTTGTGCTGGTTGCGCTCCTAACAAGACAAAGGAGTCACTCCGTCTAAGTCAGGATGTCCAGAGTCTGTGGAGTTGGTGGTCTACAAGTTAATTTCTCTTTCTGGTTCAAAACAGTATGTTAATTTTCTGAAGAGGCCTGCTAATAAACCTTCCTTTGACTCATATGTGTTGAACCAGGAAGAGAACTAAAACATTTCAACACCCTGGTGTAAGTGAACAATTGAGCATTGCGTTCTTGGTCACCTTCATTATCAAGGCCCTTTATCCCTGACAGCTCCCTTTGGTCCAATGTCCAGATCTAAGGTGGATCCTTATGAACTCCAACTAATGTTAAAAGTTTCCAACATATTTCTTTTGTATCCTTCATGAGAACTGTGGTTTACACAATCAGAGCCATATGCATTTCCTTTGACTTTGCAGCTTTGTTTCTGCATTTGCAGCGTTAGCTGTGAGATTTTATATAAAGTCCTATTGCAAATCATGTTCATTTAACTGAAATTAAAGTGCATCTTGAAATCGTTCAGAATGTTTCACTTTTCCACATTTTGTTATATTATACCCCTATTTCAATGTGTTAAGCATTGATGTGGATTTAAAAATCAAAAATGGAAATCTGAAGAGTATTGCAACATTTGGCATTAAGTTCAAAACTGAACTGGTTCCACTGATCATCCTTGAAAAGTTTATACAACTTAAATGGAGTCCAGCTGACTGGATTTGACTTGGAAAGGCACACACCTGTCTATGGAAAGATATCTTTACTCAAAGCTGAAAAAAAGAAAAACAACTTACTGTCCCAGGTGGCAGGTTCTGCTGCCGGGATTAAGATGTAGTAGGTTAAGATGTGAGCAGTGTACTTGTATGATTGACATCACTAAGACCCTCCTGCTGGCTCTGATTGGTTGTTTCTGAGTATTTCTGCAGATAGCGCTGGAAGAAGGCAGAGGAGCTTGATTAGTGACAGCTTAACAACTGTGTAAAAACATATTTTGTTTATAAATGTTTCATATGTTCTACAGCTTTCAGATTCAGTCGGTAATGTCAGAAAATGTTGACGAAATAAAGGGATGTGAATAATTTCTGGCTCTTGAGACTTGCTGACCAAAAAAAATCCCCCCACTCAGAGAAAAATTAAGCATAAATCTATTCTGGTTTACTCTTCAGAAACACATCTGTCAGATGTGAGGTCTCCTGGGAGGAAGTCGGCAGGTTCACCACTCTGAGAACTGGCTGAAGGGTTGACAGACAGTCAATAGCAAAATGTAACTTCTCAGAATACGGCTGTATTCACTTGACTCTGAAAAGGAAGTTCATGTACTAGAAAGTTCAAATGTTCAAACATGCCCACTACTTTTTCAGTGGTGGGCGCATTATGAATCGGAGAGTTTCAAAACCGAGAGAAACAAGTTAGATGGTAGCCTTTTGGTGGCAAGGTCAGAAAATTCCCTGTTTCCTGGTTTGAGACGTTGCCAACCATCTATGTTCGTCACACAGAAACAAACTCTGCCCTGCCCCGTGAGGTCAAATTGATTTTTACCCCTTTTACACAAACAGAAACACTTATATTTCTTAGAAATGGGCCTTTTTTATAATTTCCAACTAGGTGATCTCTCCATCTTGTAAAACAAACAAACAAAAAAAAAACGTCATGAAATCTTCAAAACAAATGAACAGATTTCTACCTCATTTTTGAAAAAAAATAAAAAAGTCAGATCTGGAACTATACAATGATTGAAAGCGATTATATTTTTGCTGATTTATTTTAAATTTGTGGAAGAACTGTGCAGCGTGCACTTTGGTTTCAGTTCTAATATGAGAGCTGTTAACCACCTTCGCGTCGCTCTGATGGCACTGCCACTCTACTGCTGCTCTGAACTTCAACACAAACCTAAACTGCACTAGTTTCTGTTATCTGAGCACAAAAAACATGAAAAACTAATTCACTCTACTTGAGTTTGCGTCGCCTTTTAAATATGATTTAATTAATCTCTAAAAGGCAAGTCTTCCTCAGGTAAGGTTTAACAATTATGCCAAATGTTTATCTGACTTTCACAGTTAAACTCAGAATATATGTAGTGTTGTGTCTATACCTGTACACAAAATAAAACCATGACAAAACACATAAAAGCACAGGATCTGTTTTATTTGAAAGATTAAATTATAAAGCAGCTTTTTAAAAATTTTAACATATTACACCTACATTCCTAACAACTCTTTGTCATTGTGTTTCCAATATAATTGTATGTTCATGGTTGCCATTTGTATAGGCATTAAAAAGTGTACATTTGAAAGCAGTTTTTTCTGGTTCAAATAAATCCCCGTGACGGTCGTATGACTGGTCTGGTAGTCTGGCACACACAAAATGAAAGGTGAGACACTGACACTTATGTCTTATCAAAGTTTCCTTTTGTTTCAGCTGTCTGCGCATATCAATGATGAGACAACCAACTTTTAATTTTCCCACAGACTTCTTGCTGTACCATGTGCAGTGGCAGTGCTTTGCTCATATCAGGAATCTAAGCCCACAACGACGTCCCGTGTGATCTTCTTGGTGTGAACTTGAAATCACCTCACGAGATGACATTTCCATCCAGCCTTCTTCCCACAGTTTCTCACAATACGTTACAATGTCTCTCACAATGTCACATACAGCATAGGTGAAGAGGACCAACGTATAAGGACGTGTCTCAGTAAACTAGAAAATCTTTAAGGTCATTTATTTCAGTAATTTAGTTCTGATATTGAAACATATTTTCTATATAATTAATTACAGGCTATATTATATATCTAAATGGTTTATTAATATTAATGATTATGGCTAAAAACAAAAGAAAACAAATGAATACCCCCAAACAAAAATGAGAAAGTTGCATTCTACTAAACAAGTTTAGAATGCATTTAACATAGGAATTATATGGCCATGGAAAGGGAAATACTGACTCGATAGTGTCACACAGTCGTTGACACACTCCACAAAGAGAGACAGTCATTCCTTAAGAAGTTGGTAGTTCACACACTGCTGTATATAAGCATACAAATGGAAGACTAAGCGAGAGATTCAAAAGGCATTAAGTGTTTCAAGAACTACTGCACACAAACGCATCTCTGTGTGATAAAGCCGTCCTGAACCAGAGACAGCGTCATCATCATTTTACCTGGGCAGAGAAGAAAACCACCCCCTGTTGCTCTGTGGTGCAGTTTTTTCTTTTAATACAAAAAATAATTTTACATTTTGAAAGTCAAACTTTGACTTGTATGTTGTGCTGAACTTTGATACATGTTTCAATAAGTTGACATTTCTGTATGCATTTATTTTTCAACCTTTTTTTTAATTGTCAAAAGGAACCGAAAGTAAAATGTGTAATGAATCAAGCTATTTTAAATTGTATGCAATTAAATTTTAGAAATTGATGGGCAGGCATAAATAATCTTTTTCAAGAATATTCTGATTTCTTGAGACCCGCCTTTAACTTTTAATTCATGTAAAGCACTTTGAATTGCCTCGTTGCTGAAAATGTGCTATAGAAATAAAATTACCTCAACTCACCTTTACCATCTGAGAAGGATGAGAGTCTGGCAGAAAGGACTGAGAACCTTGAACTAAATGTTGACTGAGGAAGGTAATGGTGGGAGATAATATGACATGATTAAAAGGTGACGCATCAGCTGAAGTTTTTTGGTAATCTGTTTTTGCTGTAGGAGACAAAATGAGTATAATTTTCAACTCATTAATATAAGCAAAGAAAAGGCAAACAGTTGAGTTGCATCAATTTTATGTTATTGTATATTTATCTGTTAATCAATTATATCAGCTTGTGCTCTTCTTTTCCAAATTCCTGTCACTCCGTTCTTGACTCACACTCAACTGGTACCAGAATCACATATTTAGATTAAACATTTGATGAATCACAATATTTAAATTTTGTCTGAGCTGTTAAACTAAAAGTGACCCAAGAAAAGAGCCTTGTGGATCCTCAAATGTGATGTTTGTTCATTAAGATTTGTAACAGTCAATTGATAGACGGCAAGTTCAGGGTGGCAAAGAGGATCTGACACAGTCTAGCATTGTGCGAGATTCCACCCCCACGCACTCTGGTCAACTCGGGTCACAAGTCTCTTCCACCGCTAATTTGCAGATCTCATTGGAGGCTGACAGAAATCCTAGTGAGGATTGAGATTTTCTTTTTTAACTGGACTTCAATTTAAAGTCCAAATCAAAAACAGCTCACCAAATTACCAAACAAAAGAACAAGACAGTAAGTTAATGAATTACAATAATTGTGCTTTTAAACTAAGAAGAGATGAATTAAAGGATTTTAAACATTATTATTTTTGATTAAATTATTTCTTTGTTTTTTTTGTGTGTTTCGTTTGCATAAACTGTCTGTCTTTCAGAAGTTTGTAGTCTGGACTTGTAATGTAACAAGTCTATGTCTGACTTCTCTTTTTTTTCCTTGGCTGCACTTTTAACCCTTTTCAATTTTACTTCTTCCCAGGGATAGTTTTAAAATGGCACTATCAGCAGTCATTTCAATGAAAAAGAAAAACTCTAAAAGTGTTTTTCGAAAGTTTAGTTAATCCACAGAAAATGTCAGCCTCTTTGTTGAGATTCTTCTGCAACGTCGCCCGGCTCCAAGCATAGCTGCCCTCAATTCTGTTTGTGGCACCCTGTATTCATTTCTCACAGTTAAACCACAAAGATGCAGCGCATTCATGCTGCGATCAAGCCAACGGTGCAGCCAATAAATGAAACAACTTGATGTGGTTTCCAAGTTCCTTACAGCTTCAGCTCAAGCCTGCATGAGCGACATTTGATCTGTGCAACCGTAGCAGAAGCTTAAGAAAGAAAAACAAGGCCAGAAAGATGCTCAGATGGTGGGGACCAGAGAGGTGGTCTGCCTTATGCCCCTAACTGTAAGGACAAATATGAGTCACGTTGCACAACGCTTGGCTATGTCTGCGGTGCACTTGAGCAAGGCACAGCGTCTGCTAAGAGTGACTGCTCAATACTTACAGCGCCGGTGTGACAAGGAGATATTTTAAAATTGATCATCTAAGAAGGTTTTTAAAATATAACACACAGGCATCTTTATTTTTAATTCAGTTTGAACTATTTGTGGTGTACACAGTTTTCACACATTGCGGTTTTCACACTATCCATACTCAGATGTTTACTTCATTGTATTTTTTTCCTACCACGTACAGGTTTCAATGTGAAGAAAAACAACAAAAGTAAAAGACTGAATGAAAGAAAAGCAAAACAATTCCACCTCTTGATCTTGCATAACTTATAATCATTGTAGAATTATTTTTAATCAATTACTGACTCTAAAGCATGTCGTGTAAATGTTAAATTAACTTAAGAATGACTTTTTTTGTTGCTAAAGTGCTAGCAAGTTATTTGCTATTGAAAAGTACAACCTTCCGTATTAACACATTAACAAGCAAACGTGTTACTGAATTGATGTTAAACATGTTTACAGTATAATTTTCTGTAAGATATACCAATAAACGTGTTCACACTATCCAGTGTCATTCACATTATGTAAAATTGATGGTTTTTTGTTTTGTTTTCTTTTGTTTTGTTCTTTGTTTTGTTTTATTTTTTTCAAATCTCAGTTCATACTGCTGCGATCATGGAAAAGATAGTGAACAATGGATGTTCTTCTATATTGACTCGTCACGATACTCATGTAAGGCTCTGCTGTCCTCTAGTGGACGGGTTTAAAACTACAGTTCCGACGCATGAGAGGTTTGAGTTGAGGGACGTTTCATTGGGTTCATCAATGCATCATGCAAGAATATCACAACAAATGACAACATCATTCGCTGTCATTCTTATAATGTTGAACATTAGTGTCGTCATCATGACTTTCGGCCATTCTACAAATATTACAAATCACACATTTTACTCAAGCGTTTTCAATGAATTTTTAATAATCTGTTTTTGAATTTCAAAGTCTAAAATGATCACTTTTAATCTATTAATTATTGTGACTGCGTGTCTTGAATTCAACATTTGAAACTCGAAATAATGATCTTTTCTCTCTAAATTACGATTTAAATATCAAGACTTCAAAGGTTAAAATCAAGACTCCGAGAATCAAATGTACGACTCTGAATCTATTTGATCGTGTATCACTTTGAGTCACTTTTTGCTCTCTGGGGTAAAACATTCACACACCGATGTGGCGTTCAAGCACACAAAAAGCCCACAATTTATTGACCGCTGGTGCAGATGTGTGGGATCACTAAACCCTATCGGGTGATCAATTAATAGACAATTAACTCACGATGACTTACGTTTTGTTGTTTGTTTTTCACACCGCGATTGTAACTAAGTAACAGCATACTTAAGCGTAGAAACAGAAATACTTAAACAGGACGGGTTTTGAGATTTTTTTTAAGTACGTGTGTTGTATGTATTTATTTCCTTTTTATTTGTAAGTATTTATTGTACTGAACCATCCCGTTTTTCTCTCCTTCAAAACAGCTCTACACAAATTAGGTGGTTACCTTGGTGAACGCTTGTTGATTCGTGCTCGTTTTCGACCGTACGTGAAGGCAACACTACATTGCTATACTTTACTGAGCTCGTGGAGTATCTTATTCAACAACGGCTGCGTTTGGGGGACGAAATTTAGCTCAATGTTCGGGGTTTTGTCATAGTGATTAGAAACTGTACCCGACATAGAAGCTTGGCGGTGTTTTCGTCGCTTTTGTAGTCGGCGTAAAGAAGAAACTTCCAGGTTAAATCTGGGAGGATGCGAGCAGCCGATGGAGCGCTGGCTGTATGGATGTAGCCGGGGCACGATGCTAGCAAGCTAACTGACCGCAGAGGTAAGAAGAGAAAAAGCTTTATCGTTTTGTGTGTGTGTGGTTTTTTTTTAATGGCATTTCTTTTGGTTGTAAAAGACTCCCATTTAAAGCCATAAAGTTTTCCAGGGGTGGTGGTGACGTAAAAGAGATGATCGATGTGTTTAGTGGGGGAATCTTCTCAGTTGAAGAGGAAACTTTCAGAAACTCCTTCAAAGCTGCGGCCCAACAGCAACTTGATGCTGCTGACTGATTACATGATGTACATCCATGGTTTCTGTGATTATGCTGATTCTATGTACTTTGAGGAGTATAATGGGTGCTCAAGAAAAACTATTTGATCAGTTGGAAGTTTAAAAAAAGAGAGTAATTTATCTGGTTCGCAGTGTTGTAGATACAGGCAGTGTGCAAAACTGATAAACATTACAGTTTATCTCCACTGTAAATATATCTAAAATATTGTTTTATAGAGAGATACTTTTTAGTGTCTTGTAACATTTATAATATGAATATGTCTTGTTTCAATGAAAGGCAAAACTAAGCAGAGGTAAGTCTGTAGTGAAATGTATTTACATTACTAATGCCTTTACTAAAATGGTTCAAATATGCATTTAAAGTCTCTTTGAAAAGTTTATTTAGCATTCTTGAATCAAGTGATGTGCTTTATGTTGCTGTATGTAGTGATCAATGTTGGTTTTGGGGTTTATATATTTTTGAATTTATACCCCATCACATTGTTGCACACTGAAATTCACGACAGTATATAGACATACATTATGGTAACTAAATAGTACTCTATCTCCACCTTCCTGCTCGTTGGTATTGGTGTTGACCCAATATCAACACCACATAATGTGACGCTACCTCTGTGTGCTCAGTCTGCGTTGATAGAAGATTCATTCACCTCTGTATGCTGAATGCTTGAAGAAGCTCCAGCATCAGGTCACTACGTGGGATTAATTCAGCTGCTATTCACTGGAGCCCTTTGTTAAAGAGTCACAGACTTTTGTAAGGAGCATTGAATTTTCATCCACTGATAGTCAGGCTTTTTGCCTGACTATCAGAAACTAGATTAAACTGTGAATTAGTCAGAACATGACATCCCTTTCCTCCTAAATTCTCCTAAATTCTTTCTCTTTGATACAGAAGTTGCAAAGCTTTGCTTGGTTTAGCTCCAGTTGTTTTGGAGGTTTTGTCATATTTTTTTTTTTTGTAATTAGCCTCCAGAAACTGAGGCTTATTTTTTTTCCCCTTTGATGTGTAAATGATTCAGTATTCACCAGGTTAAACATTTATTTAAATCTAACTTTACGGGTAGAAAACTAGATACCATAGAGGTAATTATTTATTAAGCAAAGAGAAAACTGAAGATATAGAAAAGTGTGAAACATACATATGTACGCTTTCAAAATGCGTAAACCAGAGAATTTAAAGAGTTTATTTTCACTGTGATGGCTGTAACCATCTTAGTGTGTACATGAAGTCAAACTACCATGAAAGGGTCCCAGTCGCCACATCTTTGTGTTTATTTGCTCTTGCTCTACTTGTGATTCTGGGCTTTATCTCTTATCATTTGTCCACAAAGCAGAAGAGAAGAAGTAGAACAGTGTAAAGATAGAGTGGACAGAGAAGTTTTAAGCTTGCAACATCCTCTTTGACTAGATGGGAACAAAAAAGGTCAAGGCAATTAAAACACAAGTTGCTGAGGTTTGGAAATCACGTTTTCAAAAGGTTTAACACAACTTCTTGCAAATTGGTGTCATAAAAATTCAAGTGCATCATATCAAGCATTGTGAATTGCTTGTTGCAGAAATTTGCTATGCAAATAAACCAGACTTCACAACTGTGACAGGCAGAAAAGTGAGATCCCAATCCCAAAAAAGGAATTGGTGAAAGGTAAATTAAGACCAAGTTTTACTCCAGTGATCCAGATATTTGCAGCATTGATTACTGTATGAACGTAGCTCAGCTCCAGTCAGCGAAATGCCTTCCCACCCTGCAGCGCTCTCATTAGTTAGCTTGTGATTTTTGTGCGATGAAATATCTCTGCAGTTTATGCATTCCTGAGCTCTGACCTGGGGGCAAGTGGCTTAACCCCCTAAGTTTCACAGACCTGCCAGTGGGACGGTCATTAAAAACCCACGCTGAGTATCCCCACTCGGTTCAGACTTGCATTCCTTTAGTAAGGTTTCCTTGGTAGCCACAGATATGAGTGTTGCCAAAACACACGAGTGATTGATTGGTTTAGAGGTAAATAATTGGCAGTTCACCTTTTGCCTCAGGTTAACATAAATCATCGTACGACCAAGTTTGAGGATGTTGAGGGTGAAGATGTCACAAATGTTTCTGAGACCCACAAAACATGAAAAATTAAGAACTGGTTGAAATAGATTCTGCATGGAAGACAAAATATGTCTTTGTTGTTGTAAAAGAAAAACATTTTTTAAGAGCTTCTGGTCTTTGTCACAAGGTTCAAGTCTTTTTCAGGTCATGGTCCTATTTACTGACTTAGTAAATTTTCTAGGCTTGTGATCATCAAGCATAGCAAAAGTTAACAGAAGCCTCCGAAGGCATCTGCAGTCATTCAAACATGTTTCAATATGTTTTTAAGCTCTAAATTACCACAATATCAACATAATTAAAGCTCATAATTAAGACAGTTTTGGATTGTCTAAATCTTCTCTAAAAATTTTAACTATTTAATTTCAGTTTTACTTTTTTGCCATGAAATTTGGTATTTATTGCACACCACAAAACTGTAAACTGAGACCGAGAGTATGTGATGGTATGTTAAGGTTCCTGGAAAGCAGGAGAAGAATAATAAACTCAATATAAAATAGAGCAAAATTGAACTGGAAATAAATAAAAATACGTTTTTTACAGTGTGGGAGTTGTTATAGTTGATGTCATTCATTACTTTGACCAGTGATGGCAGGCTTACATGAGTAAAAATATTATAAGAACAATTTTTCTACAACTCCCATTTTGATCATATGTGGGTTTTGTTGTTTTCATGCTCTAATATTCGATCAAATTCATTTGCGGTTCATAAAATATATATATATATTTTTAAAAATTCACAATGCCAAACTCCACAATAAACTTAAAATGTCACATTTACTTTGTTCTGAATTCATGCTTTGAATGTTCAATAATTTTTTGTATCTTTTTTACCAATTCTATAGAAACCTTTCTAGAAGGACCAAGCTACAACAAAGTTAGCTGCATATTTAAAAAAAAACAAACAGATTATCTAAGGATGCAGCTGAAGTGAACTGGATGTGATGGCGAGTCATCTGGTGGAGGATTGGGAGAAGGAGACTCATTTTGGATGGTATCTAGTTTCATACTTCCAGTCAATTTCCTGCATGAAACGTAGAACAAAGACAGAGATTTAGGGCATCTGAGTGAATAAAAGAGAAGAATAAGGCAGATAAATTTGGAGAGATAAATGAGGAAGAGGAGATAAAATGGAGGAAGGGACGAGGGATGAAGAGATTCCCTGCTGATATGAGAGGGTGGGGTTGAAGGAATGCGGCTAACAAGTGATGCCTGGGTAAAAATAAACTGGAGGGTAATTAGAGGTATGGTTATTCCAAAACCAAGTTTACATACATTGCATCAAAAACCTTAAATGACTAATTTCTCCATGGGTAAAATAATGTTCACATGTTAAGCCCAAAGCGTTTGCCATGTGGATTTACACGCCACACTTGGTGCGGGGGGCTTCAGCTTGTTTTCACATCATCATCGGATTCTCATAAACATCAAGTTAATTACAGGAGAAAAACCGAGAAGGAAGGCAGCGGCTCCGAGTGTGATTGTCTGTCACTGAAGGCTCTACATGTAACCATGAACTTAAAAAAGGACTCAGGAGTATTTGAAGAATTTGTTTTGCCAGCTGCTGTAGCCGACACAAAGCTGCCCTCTGTCTCTCAGGGACTTGTAGTTTATATAAACTACCCACTACATCCAGCAACTGGTTACCTCCACGGCTCTGGTGGAAGTTGTGTTAAAGTAGGCTCTTAGAAAACGTCTCCCACAGACGGTAGTTTCCCATGGCCAGAATGGGTCATTATTCATTGCTATGACAGCACTTCCCTCAGTTAGGGTTATCAGACTGTTTGGATTACAGCATGTTTATGCAATATGCTGCCTCTGTTTGGGATGAAAAGGATAATTTTTTCCCCGGCTGCCTTCTCTCAACCCATCCCAAGTTGTTCTAAAATAGCCCCTTCCTGTCATCAAGGAGTTTGTTTGTGTTTTTTGTAGTCTTCACCTTTGTTGTAAATCCTGTGAACAGGCTTACGTTTTTCACAAATATCAGTTTTCAATTGTTTTGTTGCATCAGTGTTACTTAAATGGGGAAGTGTTCTTATTTAATAGGCTATTTAAACAGAAATGGCAGTTCCGCTTTTGTTTTCCGTCGGAAGCCGGGAAACAAAACTGAATCGTCCGATAAAGATTTCTGCATGGAAATTACCTTCCTTCGACTTCTCAAGGTTTGGCATGCCAGAACAATAAGAGGCCCGGTGTTTCTCATGTGTCCAGTTGTGTTCGCGCCGTCAAGGCTGATGAATGTTGCTAACCTAAAACTACAACCTCTAAAGCTGCTGCTTCCTGGGTGCCATGTCATTTGAGATCTGACTCTCCAATGTCTGGGAATCGCCGGACCTTTTGCTACATGTCTGAGACCCAACATTCCTGGAAAGCCCAAATGAGTGTGTAGATTCAGAATGAATTTAAGCCATGCAGGAGCGGAGCAGGTGCTGCAAGTCTGCCTAAATCAAGTGGACTTCCCGCTGCCATTTGCTTCTCCATATGTTTTTACATGACAGGCCACAAAATATCCTCTGGATTGTCATCAAGTGGAAATGTTTAAGTGGCAACACGCATATCAAGAGTTACGAGTTAATTACTGTTTTTTTTTTTTAAGTGTTGTTAATAGGGTATTTAAAAGACTTAAATAGGACCAGATATTTTACCACTCATTATTGACAAGAACATAAATAATTTTATTTTCTGAAATGGAAAAACTTTTTTTTATTTTTATTGATTCTTCTGTCTTGTTGTATGTGTCAAGAGATTCTTGTCATCTTTTCTAATTGGACACAAACTTAGTTGATTTAAAATTATTTTAAATCTAAATCACCCAGAAGATAAATACCTTTGTGATTAACTGTGTGCTATAATGTAAATTATGTTTGTATTGAGTTTATTTAATAATTCAAACATGTCTGAAGTCTTGTAAAGGTCTTATGAAGGTCTGTGAACGCTTAACTTTGTTTTACGGGAACATAGAAGAATCCTGTAGTCCACAACCAGGAGGTGGCAGTAGTCAAAATTACTTTCTTTGCGTGTCTGAATCACTGAAGTTAGAAAACAAGCTAGAATGGTAATTATCAGAAAACCAGTAAAATGGCTTCTAAAGTCATAAAATCTTTTAAAACCATTAATTAAAGCAGTGGTTCCTGAAAGGGGGTGAGGGGTGCCGAGCCCAAATCAGGAACTATGGAGCTTCTTTTTGGAAATCCAAGTAAACAACACATAAAAGGACCATGATTAAAGCATTTTTATAATATTTTACCTTAGAAGAGACAAAAACATGCTTAGAAAATTGATAAAGCAAGTTAATGGTATTCGGTGTGGGTTTTATTTTTATTATACCCGTGTTTAATTGATGGCAGATTCTTGTACACAGAAGCATTACTAGTCAGTCACACGCTACATTGCTATTTGGGAATCAGAAGCTGAAAAGTTTGGGAAGCACTGTATTAAAGAAAGTTTGTCTTTAGTCGTCTCTAAAAGACACTTTTCAATCTTTCCCTCAAATCTGAGCCTTTAAACAAGTTGTCACAGGAAACGGTGAGCATTACTGCTAAAGACGGATGACAGGTTAGAATCGTCAAGACAGACTAAGTCTGGGTGGGGATATCAAAGATTGGTCACAGCATATTAAAATTGAGAAAGTATTTCTTGAGCTGTACCATTTGTTTTGCTTTTCTGATGATCGTCTAATAGATTCATTTGCTTGTTACTTTATTTTTAATTAGTAAACTGCTTGGTTTCATTAGAGCCGTAGCGAATGTGAAGGAAAACCGTTTTGATCAAGTTGCCACTCGTGTGTTTGTGTGCTGATATGAGGGCAATGCTAGGTGTAATTCCTCAGTGTGTTGGTCATTGTTGTTGACACAGTTTCAAACTCTGCCAGTGGAGTTGGGTTATCTGACACCGTGTTTAAAGCGCTCAGCCCTCTGTGAATGCAGCCACTCCTCTCCAGAAAGCACCGCGCTCTGTGGGCGAGTCGCTCATTCCTGCCCAGACTCCACACCGCTCACATTTTTCTGAACATTCAAGTCACGGATTCTCAGGAGGATTATTGCACCTCTTTGATTTGGGCTGTTTTTCCTTAAATTTCCCACTGAGTAAGTACTTTTCAGATTGCTGTTTGGCTGGAAGTGTCTGAGAAACATCTGCTTTCATCTGTTTTCTTATTCATAGTGTAGAATATATTCTGTTTTTAATTTTAAAAAAGTGGGATTTACATCACATAATTGTACCAATATTTGAAAACTATAGAATCAATAAATATTTATGCTTCAGAAATATTCTTTTGTCTAGCCATATCAGAATAATCGTTTCTCAAACACCTTGCGTTCTTCAGACATCACAATACTGAACGTTCAGAGCTTTTCACTGCTTCAGTTGTCTAAGTTTTTGTAAATTAAAAGAAGCAACTTCAGTCCTGTTCAAAGCATAATAAATGAATTGATCACCCATTTATCTCAGCTTTGGACCAGACAATGAGAAACGAGGAACTTCTAATGCATTTTCACTTCACAAAAGAGATTTATGGTAAATTCCACTTTTAGTTCTGGGATTTTTTAAAATAATTTTTGGCAATAAAGGTTTTGTTTTTAACGAAACCTGTCTAATTAATAGATGTTGTAACATTTTATTTTTTTTTTACCAATTTTTGTTTAACTGATCAGCATTGCTTTTACATTGTTTATAGTATGGCTTTGTTTTTTATCACCTCAGTTCTGCTACCTGCATATATCTGGGATTTTCTTTTTATTTGGTCAAGTTGGCTTTTTTTCTTAAATGTGCCTTACCTTGTTCTGTTTGAAATCTCATCTGGATAATTTTGTTCCTTCAACCTTTTGTGTATTAGTGATTTCTGTTAATTTGGGCAATGACGGCAGCAGCTTATCTGTGGTTTGATGGCACAAGATTTTCAAAGTCATGAGATTTGTGGAGGCAGTTTGTCATGTCCTGAATAATAAAGGGAGAGATTTTACTAATGCCTGTATGTTCCTCAGTGTCATCATGGGCCAGCACCATCAGTATAGTAGCTTATCTATCCAAAGGCAGCAGGGAGCCTTCTGGTGTTCGCCAGAGTGACCCTCTCCTGTGTGTTGGAATGCGGTCACCATCACATTTCTTCATTTTTCTGGTTAATAATCAAACCACCAAGCCTCACAGTCGCTCTCTCTTTGACATCAGGTGGATTTATGTCTCAGGCCAGTTATTACATGGACTGAACTAACAATCATCAGAGTGTTAACAAACATGCAGTCACAGGAAACTCCGTAGACAGAGCAACATGTGTATGTACTCACCCTCTGGAAGACGCTGACTATGCCTGTCGGTGAGGTCAATAAGGCACGTCACACCTGAATCACTGAAGCAACAGGTAGCAAGGTTAGGTAATGTTGGGAAGGAATGTTTTGCTCATGTTTGTCTTGGCTGACGTTGATATTAGCTGGTCAGTAACCAGCCAGCATTTGCTTCTCCTTGGTTTCCACACCACAACCATTGTGTTTTCTAAATCAGAAATATTTGCAAACAGCCAAATTTGTCCTTGTTGAGTGAGAGAAAAATGTGTTGGGAGCTGTGTTGCTACATAAAGCCAGAGAAATCTCAGACCCTCCAGCACTTTAAGGAAATGTATGAAGGGAAATGTTTGTAAGTTTGCGACTACTGCTGTTTACACCTGTGCTACTAACTGGTTAAATGCTGTGACCTGCGGTATTTCTAATCATTTTTATACTCATAAAAATCAGTTTCCCTTTGTCAGCAATAATTATGAATTTGAACACAATGTTTATACTGAAGACTCCACAAACTACTCTTCCTTTTTGTGTTTATTTTTAATGTAACATTGGCTGGTCTTGTACTTCACAGGGCATGGTGTGGCTCTTATCGTTTGCTTCAATCGAAAACCAGTAACAAGAAGTCGATCAGCTGACATGGAAGTCACTGGAGAAATCAGCGACACGGACAGCGGCATTATTCTTCATTCAGGTACAAAATAGTTTATGATGAAAATGTTCTGAAGTATTGAGTAATCATTAAATGGCATGCATTACTTTTTCTTGTTGGAAAACCAAAAAGAACATCTCCTAAGAGTAAAATTCCTGCTGCAGATTCGATATGGCTGCTGCACTTATAACACTCTGTTGAGATTCTTGTAGTAAACTGTTTGCAAATCTTATTCGTATATCACATTAAACACACCTGCATTTTTTTCACCAGACCAGTTCTATTCATAAACTGGAACTTGCTTAACGCCAGTTCTTTATGTTTCCACCAACACAAGCTCTTGTTCCGGTCCTTAACTGGTTCTTTCTTTATTACTATTATTATTATTATCAGCTGCTTTCATCAGGAGCTGAGGCAGGCCTATGGAGACGAGCAACCAATCCAAATGCTACGTTTAAAACTTTGTTATTTTTTAACAGCTTAATGTAGTACCAAAAAAAGACAGTAAAACAAAGCTCTTCAAAATTAATGAAAAGTCTTAAATCTCTGCAACAACATGAGGTCACTGTCTTTTATCTTCCTGCTCTTTAATTTGATATTGGCAGAAACACCCACAGCCGTCCGTGGATGTAATTTTCCAATCGGTTCTTAAACGCTGGTTGTCTTTTAGCTTTGCCTCAAACATTGCCTTTTGCTTCTTTTTTTCCAGCACTTTTGGGGTCAAACAGACCAGAGACCCTCTGGTTGTGATTCTAATGTGTTCACAAATATGGCTCGTTATTTTAGACTGGTAAACATCTGATAAATCCCAGCAATTATCCGTCTTACTAATATGACAAGCCTGGCAGTAGTGAGACGTCTTTCCCATATCCAATCTTTGACTTTCAAGACGAAGTAAATGCAGCTCTACAAAAACACGAAACAAGCTGCTGAACTGCTTTTTAATTTAGGAGGCTCATATAAGCAAGACAGAACTTTTAAGTGATTTGAAATGCAAAAACTAGTGCTTAGACATTGAAAAAGTGTTCAAATTCACATTAAGCTCAGGAAAACCTTGTTTGTTACAGTTGCTAATCATGACAAATGCGTTGTACTTACCTTCAGCAGGTCGTGTAAAGAAGACATACCAGATGAGTGAAGCAATGCTTTTTATGATGACAGCTCTGTACTAGCAGTAATAGGCCTGTATCATTAATCATAGTTGAATGTCTTTGGCTGAGATAACAGAGGTATCACCTGGCTGTCCAACCATGTTTTTTTTCTCCTGTTTGAAGCTCATTATTTGTCTAGGTCAGGCCTTCAGCTGGGTCTCAACATGACTGAGCCTTCCTCTGAATTCAAAAACATTATACTGGATATGTTGTTGGGGGTCTTTTTCTCTCCTTTACAGTCTAAATCAAATAAGTGAATTAGTAAGTCAGACAATTAAAGTGAAGTGTAAATGATCAATTTTGTGAATGAAAAAAGTTGTTTGGTATACTCAGTGAGCCGATTCAAAACTGACCAGGTCAGCTTCTGTCTTGACTCTTGATTTAGATTAAATGACCACACTGATTCTTACTACAAGAACCTGCTGCTTATTTGAACTTCCAAGCAATAATGGGATTTGCGGTGTTTCCATATAAGCTAATAAAGACGAAAGCCTGTTAGAATTGAGGAAGTGCCTGTGCAGACATGCCCTCTATATTTAAATGTAACTGCATAACCTGCTGATTTGCTCATTGTGAAACTTTTGGTTCCTGAATCTAACAAACTCTGACTTAAATTACATCACTTAAGGCAGTCTCAGTCAGTGCTGTTTTTGATTTTATTACATACACTTCTTTATTTAGGCAATGTTGACATTTTGCAGCAAGCTGTAAAAAAGCATTTAGTTTTCTTTCCATTTTTTCTTTCAATTTATTATGGTGTGCTTGTGAGCAGAATTTAATATTTGATAAACACTGATTTCATCATAGATAAAGTTTTTCTTTTACCACTTTAAACTTGTTCACATGGATGCATTCATAATATAAAGATGTACTGTATTTAGACCGCTTATTGTCAAATTGATTATCTTTGGGTTATAAGCACTTACAAGCATATAACTTATGCTTCCTTTGACTCTAGAAAGGTTAAATTGCTGTCTGATTTTACATGTCTTCTTCATTCTTCATCATTTTAAACTTGTTTTAAAACAGTTTTTTTGCCATATAAGTCTTGCTGAATATCTGCTTAAGTGGATTTGAGTTGAATTTTTTTCCTTTTTTGTAAAGCAAATGAGTTTAAATTTGGTTAGACTCAAAAGTAAAATCAAAAATTAATCTTTGACTTTTGTTTATCTTTCTTGACAAATCTTATTATTAATCTTTCTCTCTCAATCTTTTGGACTGCTAACCCAATACTAATGGAAAATATAAAGTTAGATATGCAGAAATTGTTAATCCAGCACAAAAGGGTGAATATTTGCTGTTATTCCCTCGTCATGAATACATTCTTTCCACACCAGTAACACATTCATCCTGTTCAATGGAGTGTCAGTGAATTGGTAGGACACACCCCGCACAGATAACACTGTTACCAGCAGCCGATAAAATCCATATTCAAAGCTTATTGAATCAATAAATATTAACTAAATTACAGTCCTCATAAATAAGTCAGTCAGCGTTTCTTATCTCAACTTGCATGAAACTTGAACTTTCTCTGGTACGTTGTCCTCTCTGACATTCCCCGTGCTTTAATTGAGCCACGTGGTTTCTGCTTTGCACAATGAAAACGTGTCAGTCCACATTGAAAAGGGGATTGTGTCTGAAAATGGGGGGAATCTTTAGCCTATTGTTGTGCTGTCACGTTCTCTTCCTGTTGCACCTCCGATGTTTGTCAGCACCTGCAGGGATTCTTCGAGTAATCTCTGAAAGTATGCAGCACTCGATGCATTGTGGCTAATAGCCCCTCCCAGCCTGAGACTAATCTTCATGTCATCAGTCGCCATGGCTACAGACGGCACCAGTCACACTCTTAACATTGTCTGCAATTAGAAAGATTCTGGTACTGATTGTGCAGTTTCGGTGTCAATGATGAGGAATGCACCAAGAGTTTATTCTTCACTTAAAGAGTTATGTTTTGTCTGAACTTCTGTGTTGGCTAATCTCCAAATGAACAAAGGCTTTCCACTCAAAAATTTGATTCATTCACTGTTTTGTTTTCAAAAATAAATATTTCAAAACATGATGTCAATTAAAAATATAAATAAATTGATTCATATAATTAGTCAGAGAAATCCAGTTTCATACTTTAGTAATTGTTGAACAGGTCCTTTACTTATTAAATAGCTTTTTTCTAAACAATGGGTGCTTTTCATGTGTTGTGTACCTGGAGCAAGCGTTCAGTTTGCACACTGACTTGTCACGATAAAGCAATGCAGTTCAGCAACAATGGAAGTGATGCTTGAAACAACATGTCTCTGACCCGGAGTCAACGCATCAGCGCTCACAAAATGTTCTCTGTGTTGGGGTTACAATGGGGACAAACCCAACAATAGGTTTAATAAAGTTTTTCCGATGTTTTTATTTTGAATTCCTGTTTTGTTTTGATTTTACTGAGTTATTCATTAATTACGTTATACCTCCCTGTGAGCTTTATTATTAACTACTCACCCCGTAATGAACTTTAGGACAGTCATAATCACGATTGTTGATATGAAACTAAGTCGTGTTTTGTCTCTTGTTGCACGGCACAGGCTCCGACAGTCCAACTACGCATGCAAAAGATGTGACCACACACACGCGAGCCATGAAGCTGAAACACCAGGAGCTCCAAGACCGACTGGAGATTTGCATACTGGAGCTGAAGAAGCTCTGCATCCGAGAGGCGGTGAGTCACAATCTCAGACCAACTCTTTAAGAGCAAACGTTCAGGATTGATTTTGTTTGAAATGATATGCAATGTTTTTGTTTGACAAAACTAAAGATGTTACATTTAATCAAAGCGATCCAATCCGCAGTCAGCCTGTTGATGATTCATTGCCTGTTTAGGAAGGCTTAGATTGGTGGGGCAGTTTTGTGCCTCTGACTCATTTTACTGCTTTTTAACCATGGTTGGTTTCACAAAAGCTCCAGGGAGATCTTGTGTGGAAACACAAATTTTCACAATGTTGCTTCAGACATGTGACAAAGATTCTCAGTTTTTCTGTCTTGCAAAATCTCTTGAATATCATAAAGTTTTGGGGGTTTTTTTCTACAATTTCAGGTCAAATTAATGGTATTTTTCTTTCTGTTTTGGCATGAGGTCACCAATTAATTTTTTTTCCTCGATTTTCCACAGAAGTGGAGCACTAATTATTTAGTGCTCCACATTTTTGATGTTTATTTCTTTGTTCTAAAACTTGTCAATGGAAATAACCATAAACCAAACTATTTGTATACAGCAGTTATTTTTTAATAATAAACTAAACAAGGGTCATGTATACTTTGGTCTTTTTAGACGTTTTTTTAGACCATTTTATTCTCCAGTATCAGGGCAAAAGCCACAGTTTGGCTTGTAAAGGTTGCTGATTTCTGCTCTCTGAGGTGAGGACACTCCTAGCACCATTTGCGGTCAAATAAAATGTTCACACCATGTCATACGCAAGGCATGGCCCTTATTTTTGTTTATTTCAACCTTGGAGACACTTCTCCAGCAAACTGTCTGTCTTTGCAAAGTGGAAAAAAGAAAAGCAACTGTACATAATGTTTTATTGAATTGCCCAAACATTCTCCAGAAAATGAGTTATCAGTATATTTAATCTTTTCCTTTTTGCTGTGAAAATGCTTCCAGCTCATAAGGTTTTATAGTTATCACAGATCTTTGATTAAGAAAAATGTTGAAACATATTATTCTGAAATTTAATTAAAAATCCTTGGCCTATCATCCTCATCTGTCCAGTCAGTAAGACACTTCTATTTTTTTCCTTCTTGGAAGAAAAAGTTTCCGTAGCTCAGCAGACAGAAACTGCAAAGTTGTTTCTCTAAGATAAAGCAGATTGAGATCAGACTGTGTTCATCTGCACCCTGCTGGCAAATGACATAAACATTTCAGGTGATACAAGCAGATGATGGCGTTCAATAATTTTTCAAAAGCTCAATATGCACAGAGGCTAAAATAAAGGAAAATACTGGTAAAGGTCTTAAAGATTAGCATCTTCTCTGCTTCATTTTTATCATTCATAGCACCATCCATCGTCTCTTAAGAGTCAAACTCTGGTTCAAACTGTATGGTTGAACTCTTTCAACTTAGGTATTTCTCAAATGTTTGGGAATATTAGTCAAAATCTCTCAGAAGTTGTTCATCTGATACAAAGTTTTGTAATGGCTGCTAAGCGTCGTGGTTATTGTGCCTCAAGTGGCGTCACCAATCCAGGAACATGAAGCAGAATCAGCAGTTGAATAGGATCCTATTTAATATCATTTTTCATTGGAAATCCATAGATAACATCTAAGAGAGGAAACAGTAAAGCTTTGCATTTCTGTAGAATTGCATCTAGTTCGAGGTTGTTTTTTGTTTTTCCACACACATTTAACTTCCTCTTTCTTTGCCAGCTGAGTGAAGGATTCAATAAAAACAGGCATGCACATTACATGTAATTTCCAAGCTGGACATATTGGGAAACAGTTGTAGTGTTGACACGCACAGGCACTCGAAAGTGGAATCCCAAGATGGGTCGCTGTTTCCCGTTGACACTTGGGCTGGGCAGTCCTGTTGAGACATGCTTAATGGGAGTCACACTCCCTCTCTCACATCTCGGTGACAAAGAATAAGGACACTCATAAACCACAATTAATGAGGTTGTGTAAGAATGATGCCTCTGTGTCAGTGAACTTCCCTGAAATGTATTTATTGTTTTATCTGCGTCTTGCTGGGTATGAAAACTGATTCTGTCAGAAAGTGAAATTCAAAAGTATGCGGTTGTGAAACAAAATCCCCTGCTTGGTTGCACGCAGAATTGTGCAACTAAGTCTTTGAATCTGTCTGTCTGAACACGTTGGAAAGGATCCGATACAGATTTTTGTCTATTGTTTCATAACCACCATGAAGGGTGTTGGATAAACCCCTTCAAACGAGTGCAACAGAAACTAATGGCTGTGATTTTGAACAAACCTTTGTTGTGATTAACTGTCTAATAAATCCTCTGTCTGTCCTACAAAATGAAACTTTCAGTGTTATTAAGATATTAATGAGCGTTCTAATTATTTTTTATTATTATTATTGTGTAGGAGCTGACAGGTCAGCTGCCAAAGGATTACCCTCTGCTACCAGGAGAGAAGCCTCCACAGATTCGCAGGCGCATCGGCGCTGCGTTTAAACTGGACGAGCAAAACATTCCTCAGGGATCAGAGGTACCTGGTGCATTTTCAGATGGCAGAGTCTAGGATTTATTGTTTTAAATGGCACAGAAACCTAACATTTCTGGTTGTTTAACCTCCAGAATTCAGAACTGACTCTGGTGGATGTCGATTTGGCGCTTCAGACGAAGATATACGAAGCTGCCCGCAAGCTCTGTGAGGAAGATCACCTGAGCAAGTCCGTCAGGAAGAGTCGGATACTGCACAGCAAAACTGAAGAAAAGAAACTTAAGAAGCTTCAAGAAAAGGCCTTTCAGCTGCGGCTGGAGCGTGGCCGATCATCGCCACTCCCTGGTCTTAATGTTACACAACAAGGTGAGAAACTCATCTGTTCCAAAAGCCACAGACTGAGAGTTTGATGACAAATCCCTTCATGACTTTCAAAGCCCCTTTGATTTTGAAAGTAATAAAACTTCTGACTTAGTTCAATTCGTTTGTTTTAATATGAATGCATGTGCTTTGTTTCCTTTTTCTATCAGATCTTGGCACATCTGATGACAGCTCTTTATCTGACTCTGCGGTGCAAGATGAAGGTAAGAATTAACCTGTCCCGATTTGTACAAATAGAAAAGTTTAGTTTCATTTTTCCAGTGGGAGCAAAAAGCTCGGATTTTAGCGCTCGAGTTATTAGCAATAAAAGATACACTAATGTAAAAAAAACATTTGAACTCTTACAAATTCAGTTTTTTACTTTTTTGTTGCACCTAAATGTTTCAGATTATCAAACAAATCATGATCTCAAAGACAAAACCAGCAAGTACAAAAAATTATGATTTTCTGTTAAAATTAACCTGCTCTTCAAAGAAAAGTAATTGTACTCTAAAACTAATAACTGGCTTTGCATAATGATAACTGGCCACATTTCTGATAAATCTCAGTGGAGAAATTTTTGGCCCAGTTTCCTTTTTGTATACACTAATAGCTAGATGTTTTCATTCAGGATTTTATGATGGAGAAAAGATTTTATGGTTTTTTTTCATTTATGGTAACAATTTTCAACTCCTGAATCAGTGAGACCTCCCAGACCATTGCACTCTTTCCACCACCATCTTCCAAAACATTTGATTTATGTATTCAGTCCACTGATTATTTTCCAAAAGCACTCTGGTGCCATTATGTTTCTTTTTTTGTTGTTTCTTCTTTTCCTGGATAAGGTGTGTTGATTAGTTTTCTCCCTCAAATAAAATCATCATTTTAAACCTGTTTTTCTAATTATTCAGGTTGTCTTTGTCATTGGAAGACTCAGTTTCTATTTTGTGAACCACTCCTTCCCTGGTTTCATTTCATAGAAGACGCTCCAAAATAGTCTTTGCTCAGCAGTCATTTATACTAAATACTTAACCATAATTATGCATTTGTTCCCAGAAGTTACAAGCCGGTCCTCGCAACCATCCACTGGTCTTCATTATCCAGTGGAAATGGACTCGCCCCGGCCGCTCACCATGTCCTCACATTCCTGCGTCGACAGCTCCTACATGTCTTCATCAGCGGCTCCTCGGTCGCCGCTCTCTAACCCCTGTCAGTCTCCCTGCCCCAGCATCGACTCCAAGTTGAGTTTCAGCTCCAGCCCTGCGTACGACCCTCCTCCCATCCAGCACTCCCCGTGGTCGGAGTCCAGCCTTGACCAGCCGTACCAGAAGACCAAGAAGTCGCGTTCCTCCAGCACTAAGAGGTGAGACAGACCATCCGTCGTGACAGAGGTCCTGCTTTTTTAAGTCTAGATTATGTGAGCCATTTTACCTCTGATAAGAAGGTTGAAAATTAAGTTTTATTTCTGATTGTAAATCATTTGTAATATTACACCTACCGTATTACCTATTGATTGATATTGATGCTTAATTCCCTTTACTATATGCCCTGATTTATGCTGCTTTGTAGAAGAAGTCAATCTAGTGGAAAGTGCGACACTGCCATCTGTTGGCGCAAAAAGCCAACACACAGAAAGAGGCACAACATTATGACCAGTGAAACAGGAAATACATGTGTCTTGATTGTGGCATCCATAAGTGTGCGGACAAATTATATGAGGCAGCAAAAAGTGAGTTAAGCACTAGAAAATCAAACAGATGTTTGAAAAGACTTCACAATGTAAAAAATATTTAGGCTTCATTATCCTAACAATTTCTGGAGCTGATCAAAACTTTTCAGCTTTGGAAATGAAAACAAAAGTAATGTATTTCAATAGAACGTTTTTCTGAGGGATCCCTTTTGTTTAGTTTAGTTTCTTGTTTTTAATGTTTGTGGTTACAATAGTATTACAGTTGGTTATTGCTTTATTTTGAGCCACATAAAGGAAAAGAATGCATATTATTGGTAAAAATAATTACCTATATAGAGTAATATCCATACAGTAAGAACATTGTTTGACTCATCAGTTTATGTTTTATGTAATAATACTATATTTAGACATACAAAGAATGCATTTAGCTCAAAAAGGAGTGGGAGAAAGACTAACTGTTGAGCCTCCAACAAACTTGCTTTGAATCCATATGGAGACATTAAGAACAAAATCATCCTCCAACCACAGGCCCTGTAGTGTTCATCCCAATTTAACAGGAAAATATGTACTTTGTGTTCAGCAGTCCAGCCAAATCTGAATTGTTGCCACCGTTGGAGGCTTGCTTACCTCAACAACTGTCCCATATGAGACTGGGCCGCACCCAGTCCAGCAGCACCCCCTCCACTCCAGAGATGCGTGTGCACAGACAGCTCTCCCTCAGGTAGGCACATCGCAGACTTACTCCATTACTGCATGTTTAAAGTTCTTCTGGGGCGAGAACGTTCATATATTTTATATTTTGGTGTATTTTCATTCTTTTTGCCATGTACACTCTGAATCAGAACTGTTTCTGTGTTGTTGTTTTTTTCTCCAGGGTGTCCAATCCTGAATCGTCATTTCATAAAGAGCGTGGCCGTACCAGATGTCCCAGGCGACGTCTGACAGAATACCAGATAATCGTAGGAGAAGCTCATTCTCCTACCATGAGCTACAGCAGCTGTGCTAGCTCCGAAGACAGCAACTCTGAACGCTCCTTCTCTATTCACAGCAACTCCCCGTGTCAGGAGTTCCCCTCTTATCCACGCAGACAGTATCAGGCTGCAGCTCCGCTCTGCAGCCCAGAAGGCAGCTATGGACCTCAAGGTCTCGCTCCCACCGCCTTTCACCGTAACCCCGGGTCTCGAATGAGTCCTGTGGTTCAGAGACCATATTACGATGAAGGAATGGTCTACCCCGCTAACATGGACCTGACTCCGCTCCGTGTCCCGCAACAAATGGCTTCCTCCCCCAACACATATGAATATTATTACAGAAAAGCTGCTATTCCCCACCAGAGAGCACAAAGGCCTGTGCCTCCTGATATCAGACTCACCCCCCCTGCACAGACGGACAACATGCACTACAGCTTCCAGGGTCCTCCGCGTCAGGATGTGAGTGAGCAGCTGAAGTCCTGGCACCGCCGCAGTCAGTTCAAAACGCCAAGGACTCGCTCTCTGGACAGACAAGGAGCAGTGAGGCTGAAAAACATGTCAACTCGAGAGTCAACCAGCTACCAGAATCAGAAACACCACGACCAAGTAAGAAAACCCAACTGCGATTTGTTTTTTTCACAGCAGTAGTATTCTACTTTACAAGATAAAAATGCGGCGACTTGCTTGAGTATTCAACTGTTTTAAAATTATTGTACATTGTGTTTAGATTTTCTAATTGCACTTTCTGAACCACTTTAAAGAAGGGTTGTTAGTTTATTTTTAAATGTTTGACCATGGTCAACTTGTTTTTGTTAGTTTCTTTATTGGCTGTTTGCTCTGGCACTGAGGAAATTAAAGTTGATTTTACATGTTTGGCCAAGCTGGTGAAGCTATTTGATGTATTTAAATCTGCTGTTCTAGTGCAGAGTATTAAATAAATTTGCAATTCAGTACACTGTTAAATGTTTAGTTAAAGAAATGTTTTAAGTTAATTGAGCTATTTTTCTGTATCAGACTGGTATGGATCGATACTAAATATATATCAGTATCGTAATGGAAAAAGTGGATCGGCGCATCCCATGTATTTTATTGGGGTTTTATGTGATAAATCAGGACATAAATGTAAAATACAGGGGGGGGAAAATAAAATACAGCTTTTTTTTTATTAGTATAAATGAAAATATGGCATTCATGTGTGGGCCTATTTTCTAGAGAATAATCCCTTCCACCTTCACCTCCCAAATTTTAATGTAATCAGTTTTTTATAGATTGAAGTTCATGATGAACAAAGTTTATTATAGTTAGATATGGAGAAGTCTTCCACTGAGCAAAACATATTCTGCTAATGCACTGTTGCTTGTCATTATCAGAACCTTAAAAATAAATCAAATCTTTTCTCTTTGAAGGTTATCCAAAGAGGAGCCATGCAGAAAGCTGCAGAAGAAGCTCCAGAGCACTGGATGATGGACAATGGCTCTCACTACATGAGTCAAGTGTGAAGATCAGAGATTAATTCACCGACTGCAGTTTTACATGTTGAACCACAATGCAATGGTCTGAATATCAATTGTATTGTCAGAAGGTATTTTTACCATTCTGTTTACTCACTATTTCATTTGCACACATAAAATGAGGGTAGAGATTGGAACATCTTGCCAACAGAAATCAGCAGAAGGTCAACATTTCCTCAGCAGAGTTGTATTTGCTGCAGATGTTTAGATTTGATTTAACATTTAGAAAAAAATTTGCCATGTTACGAGAATGGAGTCTTGCTGCTGCTGCTCTTGTTCAGTGCGAAATGCTTGTCATAAAACTTAAATCTTTAATATGTGGAAGAGTTATACAATGTTAAGTAGGTGCATAAAGACAAAAAACTAACAATAATTGTTTGCTGTTGGTCAGCAAAGCTGTTTATTTAAAAAGTAACTTTATGTCCTTAAAGCTGAAACATGAATTATGAAATTTAGGTACCGAGCTTTAGGTACTAAACTTTTTTTAGCTGGTAATATTGCAGGTTTTTGTGAGGATGTACAAAGAATAGTTGTCTTTTTTTCTAGTAGATGTGAAAATGATCCACTATGTAAATAAAGATTACAAGCATATTTTTATGTATTCATTCATTCATTTTAGGCTGCACTGGCTAACTTGAAAAATTAACCCACTGAGTTAAGATAGTCAAAACAAGGTACTAACTTAAACATGTCACGACTAAAGCAGCAAAATAACAGAAGCAAAGTCGAAACTGAATCTCTTGGCAGCTATTAAGAGGTCAAACTGAAATTCATATCCTTAAAGCTTTAACTCTACCTTGGGTTGTTTTGTTTTTTTCTTGTTTTCATTTTAATTTGACCTTTTTAAGCACCACCAGTGGTTGATTAACAATGTAATTTGCACCCTAAAAACCACACAAAGCCAAACTTGAACTCAAAGCAGACATGGACCAGAGTTTGCAGAACAAATCTATTTTATTGTTGTCTTTTATATATATATATAAAATAGAACACAATCATGTTACCTTGTGTGCCTATTGTTTTTTTACTGCCTTTTTTTATTATTATTTATCTGTGTATTTGGTAAATGTGTTGCTGTTTAACAAAACCTGTGATTTTGGTTTCACTGTGGAAGTAAAAGAATATATTGTTTGAACACAACTTGGCTTCATTTATTTTGTGCGTTTGATCTTAAATGGCTTTACAGCTGACTGAAATAAATTGGAAAATGGTTTGCAAATAATGCTGGTATAAATAATAGATTTAAAGGTGCCTGAAATTCATTCATTAGATCAGAATGTATATCTAATTTTTCTATGAGAGTGTAATAACAATAAAGCTGATTATTTACATGTATTGACAGGTAGAAATTACACACAAGTTATATTTCCATATAAAAAACTATTTTCATATTGACTCTGTTGTTAATGTGCGTGCTACAAAAAGAAACTAAATGTATATCATGCTATTTTAATAATTCAATAACCAGTTTTTTTACTCCCAGGTAGCAACAACTTTGTGTCTTTCCTTTTAACTTACTTTTTTTTACTTGTAAATCTACTGTAAAACACATAAAAAGATGTAGAATAAATACATTTTTAATCTCACATTACAAAAAGTAGAAAAAAGCTTTAATTTGACTAAATTTCATGAAAATTTGTTTTTGTTTTATTTTTATTATGTATTTTAAAATACACTGCACAATTATTAGACTTCTGAAGCACTAATACTTTTTAGACATTTTCTTAATGGAGAATTGGTGTGTATTAACTGAGTACAATTAATAAGGCTGTCACATAAAATGTGAAAAAAGTGAAACACTGTGTAGGTACTCCACCATACTTCACAGTGAGCGTGGTGCTTTCCCTCATATTCATACTTTATTTATATAATTGTAACTTTTTTTAAAGTGTGTAGGTTTTGAAACATTTTTTATACTTATTGTGACAGACAAAAATATATATATTAATTTGATTATTTAAATTCGCCTTCTTGTTTCTGCTGCGTTGAGGTAGCAACATTTTGGAGGGGTCACGTGTTCAATCTCAGAAAATGTGTGAACAGATTTACAGATTAGGGTGATGCCGAGAGGCCGTCCACCTTCAAAAACTTGGAGCTCGTTCTTCAAAGATAACTCTTAAACATTAGCAGAAACATGCAAAAAAGGATTTTATCACTATCATTTCAGAAAGTCATCTATTGGTTATTGGAAAATGTACTGTAAACCATTTATGATACTGTTTTTAATGAAATGTAAATTAAAAAAAAAAATAAAATATGTTATTATCATGACAACTAACAATCCTTTTACATTTTCTTTGTCTTTGAGAGATTCCCACCTCATTTACTATCAGAAATGCAAGTCATTTAAAACCTATATGCCAGTGGTGTGAATAGTTTTGGTCGTGGTCATGCAGACACCTTCCACTTCGCCCCTAAAGGAGAAATGCAAAAGATTGTTAATGTTGAACGGTTGTCATTCAGTTTCATCTCGTGTAATTTTATTGCGTAATTTTTCTCACAAAATAAACCAGCTGGGCGTCTTTCTCCATAAAACTTCCAGCGCCGTAAATAAACGACTTTGATTTTTTTTTTTTTTTTGCTTTTATTTTGGAGGGACAGAAGAGGATCCAGCTTTGCTAAGAGACGTCAACTTCCGGAAGTGGCTTTTGTTTCGCACAACCATAAATAATTTACCTTCCTGGTTTGGAGTCTTCCTCGTCAGGTAACTTGGGGGCATTTAATTAATATTTGTTGACAGTGTTCACCCCGCTGAGTGTTTAATCGAGCCTGTGGCCGACTGCGTTGTGTTTGGACCACTGTATTCCCGGCAGCAAGTGCGTTGAAAAAGAATCAATTTCCTGTTCGACTGGAGGAGCTCGGTTAGCTAACAGGTAACGCTAGCAACCAGATATTTACCAGGTTGTAAAAAACTACACGATTTATCCACCTCATCTGCTGTCAACATATACTAACGCTGTATATTTGTTTTATTAGAAGCTACAAACCGGGCGTTTTTCCCACATTTGGTGGACTTCGTCTGTATTTTAGGGTTGTTTACATTTTGTTCTCCGTGTTCCGTCAGACGCTTTGTGATGTTATTCAACATCCGTCGGGAAGCCTCTTGTCTCCAGCTCTAACTCTAACTTTGTTGAAGGTTTAGTCCTCTTTATTAGACCTAGCAACACCTCAGAAGTCATTCTCATTACGTAATGATGTAGAACAATCCTGTCAGGTGAAGTAGCCTTTGGACAATAGTGAGCAATAATCCACACTTTTCTGTAAAAACATAAAAATGGGGTTTTATTGCAAAGTAAAAATATAAAGAGAAGGGGAAAATTAGAAGCTAAGTTTCTTTTCCTGCTGATTGAAAATCTCCTGTGATTTGAACATTTGGTGGGTTGGATCTGGTATTGATTGGATTCCTTTTGTTATTTGACTCGTCTTGAAAATCTCCTTCAGCTTGATTTGAATAGAGTGCTGGATGAATCTGTGGTCTGACCTGGATTAGTTATCTTGGCCTGTTAGCTTGCATTTTTTCATTTTAATTTCTGTAACTAACGAGAGTTTTGAAATCACAATAAATACATATTTTAAAAAAACAGAAGGGAGGAGAAATGTGCATTTATTATAGCTGACCTCGCCCTTTTACTGTTTATTTTATGATGCTAATGTGTCACTTTGAAAGGATTTTGTCTGTGTGAAAATGCATGCAAGTTTTACTAACAATGAATTGAACAGGCTTTTCTTGACTCATATTGGTTTTCTTTAAAAACTGACCTGCCGACTCCCAATTTCTGATTTTTCTTTTTCTTCTTTGCACCATTGTATGTTAAAAAGAAAAAATGTGCTGCAGGTTTTAAATGCTGTAAAAAAATTGGGAATTTGAAGATTTAACTAAAATGTTGCACAAATTCTTGTGTACCTGACCCTTAGGGTTTTTTTTGTTTGTTTGTTTCTTTCTTTTGTTTTTTTTTGGTTTTTGTTTTTTTTTTTTTTTTACTAAACTTAACAGCGGGAGTTTTGATTCATTGGGGTTTTCTTTGACTTTTTCGTTTTTTAACTCACTGATCATTTATTCGAAATAACCCAGAGAACATTGGGTAGATTCTGATCCCTTATTGATTATTTTTTACATATGAAAAATGTTCTGATAGAAATTATTAATTCATTGCTTAAAAACATAAACTGCATTTAAATTGCTTAAATCCATTTAAGCAATTTATGCATTGCATTTAAACCCGACTCACCCGACTCTTCTGCAACATTCTCCCCTCATTCAGATTTCCAAAACAGATCCTTTGCCTAAGAGAGAAATGCCTACAATGATCTTGTTTTATGCTTAAATGCATTGCATATTTTAATGCATGCTTAAAAATATGATTGATCGCTGCCATTCGGTGCTGATTAGCAGAATAATAACTCTATTTGATCTAGTTGGTGTAATAAGTTATCTGTATATGAAGGCAAATTTTTTTTCATTTCTGTATAATTTCATACCTAGTTAGTATTTTGACTTTTTAAAACACTTTTCATAGTGTTTACTTTAAATACCACACAATATTGTCATGCCATTTAAGTCACTGTTGAAAAAATGTCTTATGAACCAACTTTTATAGTTGAAGATAATTCTCTGTCATAGACAGGGCTACTTAAATTAGATGTTTTCACCAAGATGCAAATGCTAACTTCCAAAGGTTAGGATGCAGTTACATTTGAACTAGCAGTTCAAATGTAACTGGTTACTTTGAACTGGTAGTACTTTTCTTTGATGTGTTAAAAATAACAGGCCAGTGTAGCACATTAACCGCTGTCATTCTGGGTTTACAGGAGGAAGTTTCCTTGTCCCGACTGAAGCAGAAAACAGGAGTCTGATCAGGTCATCAGGCAGTCTCCCTATGTCAGTCCGAAACGGGTCTGCCAGTGATGCAGACTGCCGGATCTCTGAGGACTGCAGCGTCCCAGATGTTGAGCTGATGGAGCTTGGGCCGCTGCTGGAGGAGGGAGGGGGGCGGCAGGGGCCAAGTAAAGGCATTCATCCAGAGGTAGGACTATTTTGTTTTTGTTTTTTCTTTGAGGACCAGAGAAAAGTTCACTTCCTGTGTCTCATGAACAATGGTCTGTTTGAAGGGAGCAGCGATGCTTCCTGATGAGGAAGAAGAGGATGATGAGGTGGGCGAGGTTTTGACTTTACCTCTTCAGGCTCATCATGCCATGGAGAAAATGGAGGAGTTTGTGCACAAGGTAACAAATTGATTCAAGTGGATAAATAGGATGTGGCGGTGGATTAAAGGCCAAAGGAAATGGCTGTAGAAGAATAATGTTATTATCAATTAGGTTATTCAGATATTTTTACTGCTCAGGGCTTTTTAGCATAAAAATTATATGTAGATATATATTAACTAATTCAAATCTACCTTTAAAAAAAACAGTAAATGTTGTCATGCAGCCTGATTTCAGTTTCCTTTAGCTTGTGAAGTTTGTGGGACATGTTCGAAGTGAGCTTAGTAAAATTAATAAATAATTGATGAGGCTTCAGAAAAAAAAGATACTCTTTCAAACATCAAAACATCTTTTTAGTCACAGACTCTAAGGTTTTCTTCATGTTTTAACATACCTGCCTTACGATGTAGTAGCACATAAAGAAATAATGCTCCATTGTCATTTCAGAACACGTTAGACCAACATAAGGTGTGTAGTTAGATATTTCAACATGCATGGCAAACTGAGGATGAGTGTGACAGCCGCCCAAACTCAAAATAAATAGTAATGTGTTTTTTGAGGCGGTTGGCTGGAATTAAGCCCCTCTCGTAAATTTGGCCTTCGTAAATCAAATTAACTTCAGCCTGTTCCAGTTTCCCCCTCGTCGTCAGCGGCCCTCCCTCCAACGCTGCAGTCTGGGTGCCCTCAGGGCGGCCTGGCCCCATTTTAAAACCGCCACATGATCCCATGTTCATTTTGGTCGGCTCAACCACTAGTCGGCTTCACGTCGATGCTTTCACATCCTGTAGTGGAATCATCTTCTAATGCCATTTTACAGTAAGTTGATGGTCTGGAGTTACAGTAAATGTTGCCCCTTCTCACTCTCAGATGAGATGAAAACTGCAAACTGGTTTAACTTCATTCTGTCAAACATGCATGGCCATTGCAGCTGCTGCATC